CCCGAACATGTATGACAGCAACAATTCGCCCAATACTATGCGCCTTGTTTTGATTTCCTTTAAAGTGTCGCCCTTCACTTTTCGCCGTGTTTACGTTTCAGCTAAAGATGAGCCTTTTACTATTTTCGCTTTTGTTGGTAAACAACGTTCATTGAAATGTTTCAAAATTGCGCCCTGTACTATCGTAAACAAAGGAAAGAGCGTAATCTATTTTAAAGCTTGTTTTGAGATAAATTTTGTTTCGCCTTTCGCTTTGCATGGATTTTTCGATAGTGGAACATTTAAAAAAAATGTTTGTGGTTATTTGTTAGTAGATTTTTGCCTGCTTCATCTGATTGCAGTAAAATCTCCGTTTGTTTACATTTAGCTAGTTTCACCCTAATCACAATTTACTCCGGATGTGGGTGCCGAGCAAAGGGTATTTTTTTCCCTCTGTTCGGGAACTAACACTACTGCGACCAGTAAATTGATCTATTGTTATATATCCCGTGTCCTTAGTTTAGTGCATGTCGTATTACTCCATCACTATTGAGAAATGATGAAGCATTCGATTTTTTTTACAGTTGCCACTCTTGCATTTATCGCAAGGATCCGAGTCTAATTGAAAGGTCCCGCTATTTATACCCTTCGGAGTGTTGAAACACCCTCCAAAGGCGCGCCCCTTTGTCAGTCAAAATTGGATTCCTTAGCAACAAAATTAAGGTATGACACCGATAATGACCATGCATCTGAACCCTAGTCTTAACCACTTCAAACTAGGGAACAACGAAGAGAAGATTAGGAATCACATAGATGAAGACAACTAACTCATTTTTTTGCCTTGTTTCAAGATCATCCTCGGTAGACAAAGCCGAGTCTTGTCACTATCAACAAGGCATAAAAAGTAACAAGGACTAAGATGTGTTCCTTGTATTACTGAAAAATCCTGTTCCCCTAGTTTGAAGTAGTCGGGACTAGGAATCGGTGGTAGATCTTACATCCCGTAACGTACCACGAAAAGGTGATCTACCCACGTTACGGGGTGAGCAAAGGGCATAGGAAGGATAGTTTATAAAAAGCTTGCATGGCCTTTTCATTTGTTCTTGATTTAACAACTGAGGAAGTGCTTAAAGAGCAGTTGTTTGTTGGAAAGCATAAAGATCCAGTTGCAATGTAATAGTCAAAAAGACAAAACATTACTTGGCGAAACTATCCATGATTTTATTTAAGTTACAGGAGTTGCGGATTTTGCACGTGACAAGCCAACTCGACACTGACTAGCAGCACTCTAATCAAATTAATTTAACTTGCGTAACCAGACAAATTCTTCACACCAGATATGTTTTATTCTAATTTGGGAGGGTGCAGACTGAAATTAATCTGATTTTGAATGAAATTTAAAAATTTCTTGTAGTACAGACAAGAGAATTTTTTTTTAAATATATTTTCATATGAAAGTGTTCTTGGATGGCTACTTCCAATATGATACTCTGTTTACCGCTGAATGTAGTTATCCCGCAGACATTGAAAAGGATATTTTAAACATATTTGTTTATTATTAATACTAAAAATAATAATGATCACTGAACATGATTTGTGTATAGTCAACATAGCTAGTAAGGTGTCAGTGAAGTTTGAACTGTTCTAGAAATGTGTTCATTCTCTGCTGTTCGGGTGAAGTACTACAAAAATAAACAGGTTTGAAAAATTGTAAGAAATATTGTAATTCCACCTAGGTTTTATATGGCAGCACATGGGCCCCTCGTAAGAATGCGAAATGGGAAATACTTTTTAATGCACGGTATTTTTCACTACTTAGCATGGACGCGAGAATTTGAAGTGCAATTTTGCTCCTTTGTTTGTTGATCCAATAGGATTGCTTACAAATAAACAAAACTGTAAGCAAATATATCAGATTTGGCGATAAATATAGGTATATGTATGGCAATGACTTCGCTTCTTTGTTCCAATCAATCTCCTATCAGCACCTGGACAAAACACGTTCGCTGATCGAAGATACTGCATATCAGGAAATTTCAATCTAGGTCGATGTCTATTCATTTTAATTTTAAATAGCTGTCACCATAGAGGGTGTCATCCAATCAACGGGGTTCAAAATAAGCTTTTTCAATTCATTCTCTGTTCCAGAAAAGTAAGGCAACGAAAAAAAACCTACTACGCTGTAGACAAAAGGTGAAATCAATTTAGCTTTTTTAGATATAAAATTTAAATTTTTATTCCCATCGAGCAAGCTCGCTAGGGATGATAATATGGAACACATCGATGTCGACGATGACAACGTTATACGGTGTCTCTTAAGACAAACAATCAAACCGGTTTTTGGAGAATGGGGATCGAACGCAGCAGCAGAAGAAGCAGAGTGCGCAGGAACTAACACTGTGTATAAGGGCAATGCAACACACAACTACTGAGGCCAGATGTGCGAAACCAACACCAATAACCAGTGAAATACGTTTTCCGTACAGCCGAGCGGTTATTATGTTGTTGACGAAAACGACTACGAAAACCTACCTAGGAGCCCAATCGTACGATCCGTGTTTCATAAACAATAATTTTGTCTGGATAGAGCGAAAAGTGCTGCCAAGTGATTGTAACGACTTTCATATTATTGTTGAGCAGAGAATGTGTTCGATTCATAACAGATATTCTGGGAATGTACTTGATGAATATTTAAAAGTTATTTTTTAATTACAACCAGAGACGATATGGTATTGCAACAATCAGGTACCATACCAACTCTATAATAATTGAACTTATTTAGATAAACGATAGTTTGTTATATTACATGTCTTGTCGTGTCTTTGAAATTAATTCTTAGTTCAGGATATCCATTCAAACCCAAATGTTCAATTCCCGATTTATTTCCCAGTGAAAAACAACCCAACTTTAATGGGATAACCAACTTTAATGGGATAATACATCTGTCATTTAAGCGATTCAATCCCACAGGGTCAAATATGACCCCTGCCCAGCACGAAAAGCTGTCAAAGATCACAGTTCAGAGATAATCACATAATTTCTTCAGCAGAGTGAGAACGACCCAAAGTTCACTCATAATCGCTAAAAGTGCAGGAACTCAGCGATGAGTAATATGCGCATCACGGTTACCTGTGGAAAACCTCAAAAATCTGCCGGAAAATTAAATGACGAAAATTTAACTCAGTCGAGGAGTACCTACGAATAGACTGAGTTAATCCAATCTTTACTTTTCTCATATTAGAGAAGTTTTTCCTGCACAACCATAGAAAAACACGAGGCAAAGTTACTCGTCGATGAGTTCCTGCACTATACGTGATTTAGGAGTTAACTAAATTCAAGTTTGGGTCGTTCTCATTCGCCGTGTACAATATGTACATCTACTTTGAAGAAAAAAATATTTGATAGAATTTTCATTATCATGTTGATGACCTAGACAGGGTGTTGACTCAATGAAAAAAACAAAATTTCCTGATAGGGGAAATGGCTCTAATGTTGGCCTATGGATCTAAGATTGGGCCAATCGCTAAAAATCTGCTATTTATCAATTTTATCTAGATGAACGCGTCATTGGGACGGTATTAATGGATATTTTTGGTCGCTATTGACAATTTAGTCGATTGCTGAATGTCTGTACACGCAGAAAAATGGATTTTTGTTTCAGGGCCTAATGTATTTTGTTATTGAATCAAACATATTGTATCACTATTTCAACAAAACATATTTTTGAATCAACAAACTGGTTTTTAGAATCAACAAACAGAGTATTGACTCTACAACCGGTTTGTTGATTCAAAAATATTTTTCTTTGAATTAACCGAATAATATATTTGAATCAATACCAAAAATATATTAGACCCTGAGGCAAAAATATATCCATTTGAATTTAAAAAGCATTTCTCTGCGTGTATGGGCCCAAATTTGGGGCCGACATTACAAGCATTTTCCCTATTCCCTGATTTTCCAGCAACTTTAAAAAATAGTTTAAAGTGTAATAAATACTTAAATTTATATTACGAAATTTTGAATTGCAAATATCATGTAAAATTGAAAATAGTAATGGCAATAGACGAATCCAATAGAAACTAAAATTCTTAGACCGGACCGGGAATTGAACCCACCCACTTCCAGCATGGTGCCCACGTACCGTTCAACAATGATCCTTAGATGCAACGTTCCAAAAATTATTTTGAAATATTCAATAACTACCGAGAAATTGATGAAAATATGCGGACCGAAAAAAAATCTCTTTGTAATAAGAATTTGCAACAAACGTTTGTTTCAACTTTCAATTAATGTTTGAAACTGTTGCTGGTATTTTGTTTTGATAAACTAAGGAATATTATCCTTAAACACTAAACATAATCATATAAGAACACATTCTGCTATGGGTGCTCGTCTTCTCACACAGGGGTGCTCATCCTGCCGTACGGTGAACGATGTAAAATAGTTACTGTTTAATTTATTTCTACCAACGATTCACCTTACGGCAGTGTGTCCCTTTTTTCGATCTTATTTCACAATTTTAGTCAATCTGAAACTACAAGAGTAATCAAGGCTTGCCACGTCATCTGAACTACCATTGTAATAACATGCAACAACAAGTACCAGACCTGCAGATTAAGGATGACTACATCCTATTTTAAAAACATACGTGACAGTATCTTAACCATAAGATAAGGTTGGATTAGTCATTAAAAAGATCATTTCAGGCTTTCTAGTAGACAAAACGCGTAGAACAATCCACCTAGGCAACACTGCCTTTGCGTAACGATGTATCCGTAAGTTCGATGAAATGAATACGTGTTTCCGTGCTTCTGCGGGCAGGAGCGAAAGCAAAACGAAAATAATGAATGCACATTTTTCGCTCCTACGTGCTACGGAGTCGGTTCCTCATGGATTCTCAACCTAGCGAGCTCCAGTAGCAACAGGAACACTTTCATATGGTGTTAAAAAATATTATTGCCACCTTTGTAGTCACATCTTCCTGGGGGACATGGAAATCTTATTTACACAATTCTTACCTATATTTGCATCAGATGTTTCCTCCACGATACGTTCCACCATTGTCGTTGTCGTGTTTGTTGCTTTTTCTTCTTGCTGCACTCGAAAACTTCTTTTCTTCTTCTCACCTCGTTGTGCTGCTGTTTCGCACTTTGCTTCCTCCGGAACAGCAGGAAAAGGCCTCTCTGGATCGACGCACTTATCTTTCGATTTTACTCCGAAAAAACCGGACTAGCAAGTGAATTTGACACACATTCACCTACCATTAGGGAAAAAATCACCGTAACGCGATTTTTTCACTTTTTCATTCGAAGAAAACCAAAGTCAGCTCTTTCACTTCTTTTTCTTTCACCCTAGAGAAAAAGAGCGAGTACGTGATCTCCGGGATTCAAGATGACTGCATCCGATTCATTCAAGAGTAGTGTAGAAATCTCCGTCCGTACTCCGATCCGATCCGAATTCAGACTAAAACAACAACACAACCGCGACTTGCAACGACTGACGTCACGCACACTCTGACACGCAAACTCCTACCGAGATGGTATTGATGGACAGTAGAGAAGAGATCGCGCATACACCAACACAGCCGCACACGAAGGCTGCTTCTTCTTTTTCTTCACAATCCGCGCTACTAGATGAGATCGAGTGAGGAAAAAAGGGACCTTTTCTTCTTATTCTTCTTCCTACCCTTTTTGCGACTTTTTCTTCCTCAGCCAAGAAAATTTCGCCTACCAATTTGCTCTCTTCATCGAAGAATTTAATTTTTTCCACGACACCCGCGATTCTTCCGATCGATCAACCGCAAAATTAACCACACTCGAGATCGGCAAAACTTACGCAGGTCGTCGTCGTCGTCAGCGCTGAAGAGACGCACGATTTTTCTGGTTGTAAAAATGGTGAAAAAGTGGTGCTGCTGGTGTTTAAAACAAACGCTAAATAGCGGACAAAGGCCGATGTTTTGCTTCACTCTCTTCTCCTGACTAGCTACCCATTACGCTCCTTCGATGTTCAAAATCCGACTGAAGCTAAGCAGCGAAAATGGCGTGTTGGAAGCTCGCATATTTTTCGTAACGCATTCGGCACTGATTACACTTTTGCATCGAGCACAACGGTTCATAAAACGATCTCGTGCGTTATATCAGGTCTGACTACTTTTCGGTCATTTGAATTAACAGTTGATAACTTAACGAATACATCCGTACATCCTCAATTATTCGAGTTCGATCGCTTATAGGTTTTAAATAGATCCCATCAATCGAGCAGTTTAAATGAAGTTTCTTACCAGTTGAACTTTACCACAGCTCAATATAAAGTGATTTGCATCTACTAGAATTTAAAGGTACGATGCTTTTATTTATGCTACACTAATAAAATTCCACCCATTTTAATTGACGAATTTCCATGTCAAATTCCATGTGATTTTCATATGAATACACATAAACAGAATGAGCACTCATGAAATGTATGAGTCAAATGAATACTATGTGTGGTTATAGCATAGAGGTAACTCTAAGACCACTGGGTCCCGAAGAAAATCATTATTATTTTTGGCTCACTCAGTACCAAAACAACGGTCCCAAGCAGTCCCAAGCTATTTCACTCACCCCTGCATGTTCTGCATGAATCCACACACCCCTGATGTTATCTGTCAAACTTTCATAGCGAATCAAAACAAACATAGTGTAGTAATAGAATTTCAACTAGAATAGGGTACGTTAATCGTTTGCTTGGGACCAATAGGCTACTAAAGTGGTGAGCCAATTTAAAATCGTTAGTTTCGTATTGATTGTTGGTAATAGCAACAATCAATACGAAACTAACGATTTTAAATTGGCTCAGATGCCGCCTCAAACCATCCACATATCCTTCCACAAGCCGCTTGCAAAAAAAGCACTTCAATGCATCCACCATCTCCTCGTCCTGTTGGCATCAACCTACCAAAACAAAAAGCTTGTTGCATGAGATTATACTTACCGAACAATTCTTCGAAATCATAGCAGCTCTCCAACTTCAGTGCTTCAATGATGGACTGCAGTTCCGGATCCATTATAGCAGAAAATAATTAAACAAAAACTCACAAATAACCAAACCAACTTTCCGTCGCGTGTTGTACTTCGTTGATGCGTAACTTCTATTTGACAGATAAAAATGGTTACTGGGTTTTCAGCAAATTTTGACATTTGCTGATTTTCAGTAAATAATCAAACCAATTGCTGGATTCCAGCAAAAAATTATATTGCTGGTTTACAACCAGCAAATCGTTTTGCTGGAACGAAAGATGAAATTTTGGTGTGTAGGTAGATTATTTATGTTTGGTATTTTGTATGTATTTTGTACCCTTAATAATCCTTCAATATTAAACAATGTTGAAAACGAAAGTTAAGCATGACACGAATCTTTTTTGTGATATAGTTCACGTGGACATCAGGGGAACTGGGTAGCCGTCATAACTATGTCCACTAGGGTGCGTCAACTTTACAACTTTGTTCCAACTTGTCTATCAATGTGTATTGAGGACAACTGTGCAAAACTTGAGTGAATTTGGTTATAACCTCGATTTGCGGGAGAATTTTAAATGTTGTATGGGAAAATGCATGGGAAACGGAACGATCCTATCAATTAGATTGAGAATACTGTAACTGTTATGTTAAAATGCAATGTTATGCACCATGTGATCCAGCATTCAAGTACATTTGTATAACACTTGCTGTGAAACTCACTGGGCAGACGATACGGCCATGCTTAACGGCCGACTGCTGAATAAGGCCGCGGAAAAATGGTGACACGGAGTCACTGGTGATGAGCTGAAGGGTTCTGCGATGCTTAAAGAACGGCCATCGTTCACTTTATCTCAGGTGAGCGTGTAGACCAGAAGTGTCTGTGGTGTAAATCACCAATTCAGCTGATTCATGTAAAATCTAAGCCTTCCTAGAAATTGGTCGAAGAACGGTACTGATGGATGTTACCTCCTCGCTAGGACCTTTTTCAACCAATCAAATTGCTTTCTGGTTGACGAGTCAAGGACCGCCATTGCACGCTACGGTCTTACCTTGACCTAAACGTAAAGGACATCGTTCTCGGGCTGAAGGCCGTAAACGCTAAGAAGAATTCCCCTTCCCGGTTCGACAGAGAGCGGCCTTGCCGTCGTCGACCGGCTTCGTCAGAAGGAAGCAGCTGTACATCGGAACCATCTCCACAAGCCGCTATACCAGCCCCGGTAAAACCTACCCGCTTTCGCACTACAGCTGACGTTCGGTCAGCCTTGCTTCATCCGCCATTGTCGGAATTGTACCGGAATTTCACCGAGCGGTGGTACCGCCATCTTGCCGCCTTTAATCATCCATCATCAACAGAATCATTCCGGAGCCGTAGCGAGCGCTCGCTCGACTGCAGTCGTCGTAGTCGTATCCTCGTCAAGGGTATGTGCCGGAAAATCGATAACAACAGTACACAATCCACACTATTGTTAATTGAAAAAATACAGTGTTTAAGTTTTACACACAAAAAATAATCGTTAATGAAATTAAAAAAAACCATTGGTAGAATTAAAAGTTTGCATTGGTTCTTTTTGGTAGAAAGCGTTTAGCTTTCAAAACAAAAGTCATCCAACTGTTAATTCAAAAGTTACCCACTCCCTGCTTTCAAAAGTTGACATTTTTAAAGTGAATTGTAGTACTGTCAAATGGAAAGCGAGGCAGTGCTCAAATTAAAAGCGGATTATTTTCATTTCAATACAAACTTTTGAAAGGAAAGCATGGTATAGTTGACATAAAATGTGCCATTCTCAAATAGAAAACAGTGTTTTTAATTAAAAAATAAACTTTTTTATCGTTTTTTTTTCCAGGATTTTTAAAAATAACTTCTAATAAATATTAATTAATTTTTTAATTTATTTGATAAAATTTCTAAAAATATATTTATTACTTCCTAAATTATTCATGTTGTCTATCGGATTTCCGAAGCCGTCGCTGCTGTGGCCTCGGGGTCCTCCGACGATTTTCTCACTCCTTGCTGATGGGATGCTTCATCCTGCATCCTTACCACACGAATCTAAGCACGAATGTAGCCGATAGGGTAATGGAATCATGTTTATCAAACACGTGGGTGTGTGCACTGGAAAAGTAAGGTTCATACTGCAAAAAAGAAAAAGTCACTATTCACATTCACATTCTTCTTGACATCTTGATCTTACACTTTGAGACGTCACCGGAATGTTCTGAGGCATAACATCTCTGATCACGGGAAGTAAAGCCGTTGGTCCCCGGTTCATGAGTTGATGGGTTGATAGGTAGGGTCCAGGTGTGGGTTATTGCCTCCCTGGCGTCGGTAGCATTGGTGCTAAGCCTGGAAAACAAGATCGACGGAAAACAAATCAAGGAAAAAAAAAGTTCAATCCGTAGCAGCCATTAATGTTATTTGGTGAAAAAATGAATCTGATTAGTACGGCTGGGATCTTGCAGTACAGCCGGAAGATACTGAGCCACCGAGAAGATGGATCATTTGATCTAGGATTCCTCCTGCTGTTGGTTCACGTGGCAGCGCATTTCGTAATCCCTATCACTGGCGTAGACTGACTCCATCCACTGGAAGTGATGCTCAGACCTCGTTATTGCCATATCGACAAACATCCTCCCTCCACTCCTGCAATGCTAAGTGCTGCCAAAAATGCCTCACGAAATCTTGTGGAAAGCAATTGCTGACTCTGCTGTATTGGCTGTTTTTGGAGCTGCTGCTGCTAAACAGGAAAAAATAAATTAAATTAAAACACTGCAATTTACCGAATCTTCTGAAAAATAAAAATTGAATCGGTGGTGTCAGGTCCCCTTTGCTGGCCGTTCAAAGATGGGTGTTGACTTCCGGATGCCACTACCTCGGCCACTGCACAGTGTCGTATCGGTGTATCTGCTTCTCGATCTGCTTGTATGAGTCACGCTCAGCTTGAGAATGGATTCTCATTCTTCCTCAAAACACAAAATACACTTGAGAAAAACATCTTTTGAACGGGAATTAATTTTCTAAACTGAATCGAATTCAACATAGGTAAGTTAACAGTGATCTTTGATAAGAGCCCGTAAACGTAAACAATGACCTTTTTCACAAATTTCATGAGAATGAAAACTCTCCCAAGTTAATCACCAGCATTATCGTGTAAAGGAAGAGGCCCTCTATTCCAGGCTCTAACCGATAAATTGGGTGGCTTTCGTAGATAGATTTTAATTTATGCGCAAGAAGCCATTTACAAAATTTACGTTAGCAACCTAGGCCTTTATGAAAAACCACTATCGAAATGCATAATTTGAAACTTCACATTCAGTGTTTGTTTTCGCGCCTTTTGGATTCACTTGTCAATGAATATGGAAAAGCATTTTTGACAGTTGTACCAACAATCAATACGAAACTAACGATTTTAAATTGGCTCACCACTTTAGTAGCCTATTGGTCCCAAGCAAACGATTAACGTACCCTATTCTAGTTGAAATTCTATTACTACACTATGTTTGTTTTGATTCGCTATGAAAGTTTGACAGATAACATCAGGGGTGTGTGGATTCATGCAGAACATGCAGGGGTGAGTTTAATAGCTTGGGACTGCTTGGGACCGTTGTTCTGGTACTGAGTGAGCCAAAAATAATAATGATTTTCTTCGGGACCCAGTGGTCTTAGAGTTACCTCTATGGTTGTACAACTTTTCTTTTGAAAATTTCACTTTTAAAATTACAACTCGGATGTGAAAAAAAACACTTTCAAACCAACCAAATTTATTTCTATTTGAATTTTCTCGTAGTTAAAACTACTAAATATTGGAAACTTTTAATATGAAAACGCATAATTTTTATTGATGCAATATTTGTTGTTTGTGTGTAGTTCATCTGAAAGCTTGAGAGCCTTTTCGTCCGCGTAGCCCCTCCAATTTGCCCAGTAGAGCGCCGACTCTGAGACTCAGTTCAAGGAGTCTCGTGCCGCTGAGTTGTTGTCGGGCAGAACATTGTTTTCAATACTACACAGAAACAAAAT